CACATGCTTCTAGGGTGCCCCTCTGTCTGCGGGGGCCCCTCTCTTCCTGTAGCTTTGTACTCCCAGCTGGGAGTAGCTGCCTCCTCCTGGGAGCCTTAGGCCTCCTTTTCATGCCCCTGGGTCTGTCAACACCTCCCTTCTCCCTTCTCCAAGGGTCTGACCATAGCCTTCTACCTTTTTGTGGCCCTTTTAGTACAAGGCGAGTGGACAACTCCAACACAAGACTGGCAGTCCAGATGGAGCGGGATCTGGGTAAGAACACAAGACTGGCAGTCCAGATGGAGCGGGATTTATGTAAGATGTTTCCCTTTTCTCCCTTTAGGTGACTTTTGTCCATTTATGTAAATAGATTCCAGAAAGGGGGATGGACTGCTCACGTGTTTAACCATGTGGCAGAGTGTCTGCCGGAATGTGGGCCGACTAGAATGACCTATGCCCAGAGACCGATGGCATCCTGACCTGGCTTGGAAACGCACGTCCCATCATTAGAACCGACTCGGTGCTGATTTGGTATTGAACGACCCTGTTAATAATGGCATTTTGGGACCAGCAGTTAGCATAATAGCTATGTTGCTGGACTCCCATGTAGTCGACTGTGCTTCGCATCCCGGACCCGGTGGCTTAAAACTCACGCCGGGTGCGTGTGCGTGCGTGCCCAAGATCCCGAGAGGAGAACGGAGGAGACGGAATTGCGGCATGGCCATCCCCCCTGGGGATCTCTCTGTCTCTCTCTGTCTGCCTGGCGAGCGCACGTGAAAAAAAAAAAAAAAAAAAAAACCTCAATAACAGCATTTTAGTTTGTAGATGGCAAACAGTGAGTGCAGACTCCAGACCTTGGCCTCAGAGAAACGTCTGCATTATAATGTTGGGGGTGGGGTGAGCCATTCCAGGGTACAGTGCGGCCTGCCCCCCCCATGTCAGCCTGAGGAAGCTTCGCCTGGTTCCTTTTCATAACATATCTCCTTTCTAACCATTCCATTTCTCCTTTCTCACGTCAGAATGCAAAATCTAACTTTCTGTTTATAGCCTCCTCACTCTCTCATTTGTGCCAGGAATTTTGTTGAAGAAAAACAGATCCTGCCCGTTGTCCGCGTCTGAGCTGCACACACGTGACTAGCGTGACGGTACCTGGAGAGACAGGCTTATTTTTGCTGAACTTTATGTGAGTGCCGTGTGGGGAGCTTATGAATATCCCCGCTGTGCACCTGTGGGACTCTGACCTTGCAGGGACATCGATCTCGGACGGCGCTGTGTCATGAACACACGGTCCTCTCAGTTCCTCGTAATTGTTGTCCCGTTTTAATCTAATTATGTAGATATATGGTCAGCGTGTTCCAAGATGCCCTGAGTCAAATCTCTTCTTTTAGTGATTTTAATTGTTTTGTTTTATTTCAGCATTGAGCAGTCTGAACAATTAAGCAAATGCTAATTCCCTCATTCAGGCCTTTCCGTTAAAGTGACAGAGATGGGATCATCTTTAATTAGTGTCCTGGGATGCATGCCCATTCGTCATAGGGGGTGACTGCAATGGCAGGTCACACAGACTCAGCAGGTTGGAGTGACAGCACACTGAGACAGGCCAACTGCTGGTGTGACGCTGACTCAGTGTCCCGTCCCCCCCCCC